TATCGTGGTAAGTATGCATAACACATTTTCCTAATTGCCTCACCTCCCATTTAATCTTCTCTCAGGTTCCCTCAGATTGCTTTTTCTTACACAGTAACACGTAAACATGGGATGCACGCTACCCCTCAAGTGAGTATAACTAGATTTGGTCCCTCTTAAAATATTTTTTAGGTATCAGCAAAAATAATAAAACATAATAAAGGAAAATTAGAAGGAGTGCATGGGGCTAATCTTCATGTTCAGATTAAAAAATGAAGAAGGTATCAAAATTAGAAAAAAATCAGATATTGAGGTTCATATTAACACATTTCTTAATAGTGTCTTGTGCTTTTCTGTCAAAGTAAAGTAGGAGTAGTACCTGGGGCTAGTGGTTCACACCTCAATTTACATACAGAGGGTTCTGTGATCAGGAAGATTATTAGGAAAAACAACATAGGCTTTCATTTCTAGCTTTGTATTTTCAGTTTTAGCACTTATTCTTGAGAGCAAAACATGCAGGAACAGCATGCAGCAGGGGATCTTGATTTGACAGTCCGTTCTTGTTTGAACTCTTCTTCTCAGTAAGACAGTTGGTTTTTTTTAAATGTATAGCATTGAAAAATGTTAACAAACATTCAGAAGAAGATAAATCGTACAATCTTAAAGCTAAGTACCAAATGCTGACTTATCATTACATTGTGCAATTTTATTTTTTTTAACAAAGGACTACCAAGTTTATTGCACAGCACTTGGTAGTCTTATCTAAAAAAATTAAAAAGTTATGTGTAAAGTAAGGAGAGGTTGAATGTCTTTTTATTAAAAATATCTGAGCAGCAATGTTAGGTGTGAAACAAAGTTTTTATTTTCCAAAACACAGTTATACTTGAAATATGTTGCAATCAAGTAAATTTTATTTTCAGAATGGACTGAAGCAGTATTGTTTTCTGGTGTTCTTACTGGAGTGCTCCTTGGTTGCTGCTTTCATCTTCCTTGTAATTCCTGAGACAAAAAACAAATCTTTTCTGGAAATCACAAAGGAGTTTCACAAGCTTAACTTTGGAAGAAATACCAAAAAAAAGGAAACAGAGCTTTATGAAAGAAGACAACTCCATGATGAATTTTTAAAAAATTCAGTGCAATTTCACAGGTGTAACAGAATTTGAATGAGAATTGCGAACAGCGTCTTCTAAATGAGCATTGTAACACCATGAACAAGTAGCTTATTAAATCCTCCTGTATAGTTAGAGGAAATTTTAATTAAAGACAAGTTAATCTTTCTGAAATGCTGTTAAAACACAGATTGCTGAAATGCTATTAACAGCGTATTATAGTATACATAGAAGATGTTTAGATACAACTTGATATCCGGATGCAGAAAAGCCAGGAGAGCATGTTCAGTGATTTCTTTGGATAATTCCGTAGCTCTTATATTTCTAAGCCCCTTCTTCAGATTTGGGTAATCAAGCGTATGTTAATGCTTTACTGAATAAAATATCCTGAGGTGTTAAAACCCAATCATAGAACTGACCTACTGAGAAACCAATATTTGAAATATTCTAGTTTATATATAAATTGAGGTATTTAGTTGCCATTTTAGGCTTAAGTAACTTGCTTGAAGGGTTTAAGGACATTCCTCATCTAGTCCTACTACTGTAACTGTACGACAGTACAGCACCTACCTGAATGACTGTTACTTGTAATAAAGTTTATTAGAAACACTTGTTTCCTAAAAGGGTACTAATAAAACAGTTTCTGGGGTTGGAATTTGAGTTGGGCCCCCCCCCCCCCTCCCCGAGTCTAGCATCTTAACATTTCAACCTGTGCCGCAGGGTAAAACCTCTGCAAGTTCTGAAGGGCAGTTCCCGGCACACTGAGATCAACATCACAAGAAGCACGAAGTATCAGAGAGGACAGATAGGGATTAAATACTTTTCACCTGTAAAGATTTTTCAAGACGGTCTGATAGAACACACGCAAAGAGACTACAGAGAGCTTGAAGGAACTATTGAGGGAGCTTTCTGCTTAGTTTCCAACATTTTGTCCAGGACTCTTTTCAACTCGAAATAAATTATTCATGTTGTAGTAGTCAAGAAGTAAGAAATCTGACATCCAGTGTTTGTGTGCCTCTCTGATACTCGTTCCCATACCTGCAACTGGTGGGACAGTGGTGCCACCTCACCTCCTGCATCTTTTCCTGGTTGTAAGCATTTCCTGATTCCATCTGCTGCTCGACAGGTGCTGTAATAAGCACTGGGTTTCCTTTACGTTTATCCTCCTTCTCTCAGAATTAAAGCCTTTAATGAAAAGGTAGGAAGCAAACACCATTTTTCTGATTTTTGGTTACTGAATGAGCTGTTTAATTGAAAACAACATTAACTCTTAATGGTAAAGGAGGCACCATCAGGAAGGGATTTTCTTGTCCTTTAGTTTATCCTCTAAGTTTGCGAAATATTTCATTTTAGCTAGTAGCTTCTTAGCTTCTTGAAGATCATCTGAAATGAAATAAAACATCACAAGTTTACAGAGGGAGGGATGAATTTTCATTTTCAAAATTAATCTCAATATTTCAGTGACAGCACCTGTTCCAGTACTAAGAGCTGCAAATTTTAAGGACCCACACTGTTAAAACCATGCTGCCTGTTACGGTTTTGGAACACCTCATCTGAGGGGTCCCACAAAACACATAAAAATGTACAATTTAGAAAAAAAAGGTGACATGAATACCCTTTAATGACTTTTTTTGTAAAGTGCCCATAGTATTGATGTAGCCACTGGGGAATTTTAAGCTTGTCTATATACTTTTTTTTTTTTTTAATGTACGTAGAGCAACTGCCATCACTGAAAAATGTGAAAGATTGGTAGGACTCTGCTACGGATAGTGTCAATTCCAAAACTCATATTAAAACATTTTCTACTTAATTAAACAATTGGAGGGGAAAGGTGGTTTATCACCTCCTGACAAGGACAGATGCAACATAATTCTCAACTCCTGTAGTACAAAGAGTGACAGATTGTGAGGTTATAATCCTTCACATGCAGGCATGTATTCTTGGAAACAAACAATTTCTTAGCATCACCATTCCCACTTGAAGTGATCATTTTGATGCAAATTAAATTTAAAAAAAACCAAACCATCCAATACAAAAGTACTCGTTAATTCAGTGTGAGATCCTGAATCTCCTGAATCAGCAGAAAGGTCAGTTTAGAAGTATTTATTATAAATACCAAACAAAGAACACTTGTTTATCCAGTATTTCTGTTCTGTAGTTCAGGAAGTATTTGCCAGTAGGAGAATGTGGGTTTTTTAAGCATTTACAGCTGATCTGTATGGCAGCTAAACACTTAATAGAAATAGCTACCTCTTTCAAAAGCTGCAGTCACCTCTTTGGTCAGTTCTTCTTGTTTAACTGTAAAACAAATTATTTAATTCACTTAATATACTTAGTATATTTATATTGGTATTATATTTACAGTGGTATTAATACCACTGCATTCTGATTGTGGTGGGAAACTTAATTACTAGTCTTAGAGTCTTTTGGGAGCTAAGAGAGGTCTTAATATTACTGTCAATTTATTTAAATTATAATTTCAAACACACATATTTGTTTAAACAGGTTTACAGACAGCAATTCTAATGCAAATCAGTGGTCACTAACTTCCCAGAAATCTAACTTTTGGTGTATCAGTTTCCCCTACTACAGTTAATTTTCTTCTGTTCTACTTCATTTTTATTCTAGTTATTCTAATTGCTTTTGGCACGCTACTGTTATTGCAAATAATTAAATTTACCAATAAACTCAATGTTTTGGGTATCACCAACAATATAAACAAGAAAGTTGCTTGATAATAATAATATAATGGTTGCTAAGTTGGAGAAGGTGAAAGAAAGACAATGTCTGTCTAAATGAAATTACTCCATGTGGTCAGTCAAGCATTTTATTAAACCTCATTTTGAGTGCTTCTTTCAGAACAGTCTGCTGGCTCTGATCTGCTGAAGGTTGAGTAAGTTCCTTTTTGTAGTCAATATATATACCTATTTTGCCATCAGAATAGGTACGGTTACACAGATTTTCTCAAGCCAGATTGGATGTTTAGATGGTGTAACTTGGTAAAGACAACAGGGTTTTTTGGGGGGAAGCCCATGCAGTACGTCAACCCAAGACTAATGCAAGTCAGAGATACTAAAAGAAATACACTGAAAAAGTTAGTCTTCAGAAAGACTCTTGTGTTACACAAGATACAGTAAATTAGTTCTGTACAAAACCCTCAAATCACAGCCTACCTTTAATTAAAGTTTCAATTTCTTCAAGGATATAGTCATTTTTAGGCTCTGCTAATTTCTCATTAATTTCCATGATTTCCGTGAGAAACACTGAGTCTGCCTCAGAGTCTGTCTCTTGAACTGGCTCTACTCCATTCAGCTCCAGCTGGTGAAGAAAACCAAAATTTGGAAATACACATTCCTACATGCATTTCAATGCGATTTACGTGCTTGAATACTAAGTCTTCCAGTAGGCCTCACTCAGATTCATGTCTGATAAACTTCTGGTTTATTCCATGAAATGTGCATAAACAGAGTCAGTCTTAAAATTAACTCCATAGGTACACCATAAAAATCAGAAATTAACCAAAGCAAAAAAATGTAATGAAGGCTGCCAAGGGCCAGACTGAGATTTCAAAGGAACAGCCAAGGCCAAACACAATGTGTGAGGCAGGAAACAAATTAGTGCAACATGAGCAGCAACTGGGATAGCAATAATCAGTAAAATGTTAAAGAAAATAGTGGAAAAGCTGATTAGTTTTCAGACAAGCTTGGTTTTGGTCTCCCTTCAATCCTGGGTAATCCTATTCCTCAGAGGAACATAAAATTAGCCCGTTAATGATGGAGTCGCAGCGTTCCACCGCCACCAGCAGCCCCAGCCGCCCACGGTTCGTTCCAGGAGGACAGTGGAGACCTTACCAGGTAGAGGCCGCGGCTCAGGGGCTGCAGGAGGGTCTGGTACGCCTCGTTAATCAGGGACGAGTGCTGCTCCGAGTAGAACTGCTCCTCCTGCGGACGGATGATAGTGACAAGTTAATGTCCAGCGGCAACAAACACTG